CATTTACTTTTAAATAAGTAAATATACATACATATTATTGTATGTATTATTGACTCTAATAATTTATAGTTAAATTTGCATTAATTTTTTAAGATGGGGTTTTTGGTTTTTGTTTATTGCTTATATATCGAAGCTACTTCATTAGATGATAACGATTCACCAATGACTCCAAGTGACAATGCCGAAGATTTAAAACGAGAATCTAATCGATCTGAATCTACAATAGCCGGTAGTTCTCAAGGTTCTCCATCATTAACTTCTGTAAAACCCGAAGGTCAAGATGAAAAATCTGATAATCACCGATGTATGTGGAGAGGTTGTACAAAAGTACTTGATAGTTTAGAATCTTTAATATCACATGTCGGTGATTCTCATATTGGTAGTGGAAAGGTTAGCATTTAATCCTAAAAATTTAATATATATATATATTTTATTTATTTATTTATTATATATATATTTATTTATTTATTATATATATATATATATATTTATTGATTTATTATATATATATATATTTATACATACACACATACACATATATACGTATCATACATATATAATTTTTTTTTTTTTTTTAAGGCTACCTATGCTTGCGATTGGGAAGGATGTTTAAGGGGACAAAAGCCGTTCACAAAACGTCACAAGATGTATAATCATTTAAGAACTCATACTGGGGAAAGACCTTTTGTATGTAGTGTAAATGGTTGTGGTAAAAGGTTCTCAAGACCAGATTCTTTAACAACCCATGTAAAGACGCATTCCAATCATCGCCCGTATATCTGCTCATTCAAAGGATGTAATAAGGCATATTATCATTCAAGATCTCTCAGAAAACATGAAAAAACACATGATATACGTGCTGCTCATTCTCAGCATTCTTTACCATCAGTTCATTCTGCTGGAATTTCTATTACTAATAATGGAATGCACATAAATTTTACATCACCGAATCGTCTTTTTTCATCACAACAACAACAAACATTATTTCAACAAAGACCACCTGGTTTTGATCCTTCTTCAAATCCATTACCGAGTGGCTCTCGTGATATGAGATCTGGTCCTCCTCCTCCTCCTCCTCAACCTATTCATCCTCATCATCTTCCACCAGTTCATCAACTTCATCCTCCATCACCTGTTGGTCCATCACCACCATCAAGCAATTCTTTTAATTATCAACAACAACATAGGATGTTACCGCAAGGTCAACCACCATCAGGGCAACATGGTTCTTTAAACTATTATCATCCTCCTCCACTACAACCTCATCGACCCGAACTAGTTCACCATAGTCGTGGTCCATCTTTTGATGGTTCTCAACAACAAGGCCCGTCCCCATCATCATCTTCACCATCACCACATTTCTTTGCA